AAGAAAACCCTTCTGAAAATCACAACGTAATTACTCCCATCTGCTCCGGCACTGCTTCCCATTTCTGCCTGCCAGGATGCTTGTCTCCGATGCTAAGTAGCACATTATTTTCGATAAGTTGCAATCATTTACTTGAAATCTCCTTCTCCTTTAAAATGTCCCCCTGGAAAGGCAATTCAGGAAGTTGGGAATGGGCAGAAAGAACCAGGATAAAACCCATCCAGCAGCAGCCGAGCTGGGATGGGAGGGTGAGCGCTGCTCCCGCGCTCATTAAAACCACCCAGCGGGTTCCTTTGTAGGGAGGGCTTGTGTAAGTGCCCAGCCACAGATCCAGCCCTTGGCTGGTGGTGTCAGCAAATGGGGCTGCAGGGGAACTGACAGCTCGTGTCGTCAGAATTCACACAGAATTCACAGAATGAGCAGGTGGGAAGAGACCTCCAAGATCACCGAGTCCAGCCCAGCCCCAGCACCTCAACTAAACCCTGGCCCCCAGTGCCACATCCAGGCTTTGTTAAACGCACCCAGGGATGGTGACTGCACCACCTCCCCGGGCAGCCATTCCAGAGCTTTATCTCTCTTTATGTCAAAAACTTTTTCCTGATATCCAGCCTGTATTTCCTTGGTGCAGCTGGAGGCTGTGTGCTCTGGTTCTGTCAGTGCTGCCTGGAGCAAGAGCCCAGCCCCAGCTGAGCACAGGCACCTTTCAGAGCTGTGCAGAGTGATGAGGTCAGAGGGAATCTTAACCAGGCAGTCACAGAAATTCTGCAAGACCGTGCTTTTGACTGCTGAAGTCAGCAGAGAATCGTGCTGGCCCTGGAGGAGTGATTCCTTTATGGTCACAACCTGGCTTGGCATCGTGTCTCAGCACCACCCCCTCTTGTGAGGGGCTGAATGGAGTCTGGCCCTACTTCCCACATCTCCTCAGCTTGAAGACACTGGCCACCAGGATAAATTGCCCTTTCTAGAAGAAAGATGGAGCTGGAAGGTCCTTTGCTGTTGTCACTGCTAAGCCACAGTCTCCTGCTTAGCTTCTGCCATCACCCCCAGCACGTTTGATTGTCTTTGTGATGTAGTTCTCTCTCTGTTGCCTGCACACCTCTAATTTGGAGGGGTTGGAAGGGGTGGAGAGGAAGGAGTTGCTTAGTGGAAGTGTTTTGGTGTGGCCTTGGAGAAAAGAGATGACTGTGTGCTCAGCTGCTGTGCTTTTCAGATTCCTCTGGAAAAATGCTCCAGAAAAATGGAGTCAATAAGGTAGGGGATGGTGGCATGGATACCAGAGGAGTCTGGTGCCCTCCTTTGTGGGTTTCTTAGGTGTCTTCACAGCCCCAGGCCATCCCCAGAGTGGTGTCAGTTCCAAAGGTGTCTGGCAAGTGCTCTTTCTCCTACCCCTGGCTGTGCCTCAGATTGCATGACCTGAGGGGACACCAGGCAGAGATGTGGGGACATGTGGGGTGCTGGCTGCTCATCTCACATGAGCATGGAGCTAGCAGCTTTGCAGGTGCTCCTTGGAGACATTGTGGGAAGCACCTTGGAGCATCTGGAAGCTTTGGTGGCTCAAGGCACCTTCCATCCTGCGTCCCTGAATGGCAGGGCAGGCATGGAGCCAAGGAGCTGCTTTTGGCTTTCTCTTCTCACCTGCTTCTCTGAGGTCAATCCTGCCACCACTTCCCGTGTCCTGCACTGCAGCCACACCACAGAGCCAGCCCAGGGATGCCCTCTGAACCCTTGGCTGTGATTCCTTTCCTCAAGAAGGGAGAAGGAGCAAGTGTGGGAGCTGGGAGCCATTTTCCAGCTGCTGGAATGGGTCTCTGTAACCCTGGTGGTGACCATGCATGGACTGCAGGCTGGTGGTTCCATGGTCCCCAGGTGCTCCTGCTGCTGCCATCAGGGATGGTGACCCTGTGACAGCCACGTTCCAGCTGGGGTGACAGGGCACATGCCTTGGGTTTGCTTTTAAAACACACCCATATATATGTATATATATATATATATATATATATATATATATAAAACACATATATCTGTGTGTATATATACATATGGTTTTTTAATTTTTTTTTGTTGTGTGTATATATTTACATCTAAAAACGCATTTTGATCAGCAGGGGACCTGGGTGAGGGCTGAGCACCATCTAGTGGCAAGCTCCACAGCTCTAGAGGCTGCCAAGCCAGCAGGAAATCAGCCAAGGACAGAAAGTCTTGCAGGAATTCTCCTCCCCCCCGGCTGCCAATCACTATCTTTCTTTTTTTTTATTCCTTTTTTCCCTCCTTTCTTTAATCAGGAGCAGGAAATGGGGGTCCTGAGGATGCCTGGGTGCCTACATGCCTGGAGCCCCTTGGACCACTGAGGACCATTCTGCTCCATTTATTCTGCTTTAATTTGGTGGGAGAGCAGGGTTCTTTTGCCACCAGCTGCCTGGGCACTACAGATTGGGTGCTGCCAAACCCATCCCAAACTCCTCATCCCATCACAGAGAGCAGTTTGGAGTCTGGGAGCTTCCAAGGAGCCCAACATCCCAGGCATCCTGGCAGGAGACGTGTCAGAGCTGGGTCCAGCACTGGGAAGATAAAAAAGGAGCTTTTAAATAATCATTTTGTCTTCTCCTCGGCTGAGCACAGCCTTTCAGGGATAAATAAGCAGCATCAGTCCTGCTTAGACACATTGGCCTTTCCATTTATTTACTCCCTGGCTTTATTGTGAGTGAGCAGCCAAGCCCAGGCTGGGTTCAGGTCTCTGCTGTGGGTGCTGCTTGGTGCATGTGGCACAGGAATAAAGCTCCCAGGAATACACAGCACTTTTCATCAGGAAGCAGCTCTCTAAACATAAACTAATTAATCACTCGTGCCTACCTGTCAGGTCAATGATTCCTGAGATTTTTAATCTAAAAATATTTCCCTTTTGAAATCCAGATGCGCCTGTTTTGGCAACTCCGCTTTTGATTTGTTTATTTGAGGTGTTTTTTAGTATTTTTCTTATTTTTAACCTGTGTTGGTTTCCTTTTGTATTTGGGCTTTTGATGTGCTTTAATTGACTGATTTTTTTTTTTTTTTTTTTTGTCCTGGAAGAATAGGAATTTATTCACTTTATTTTCATGACAAGTCTCTCTCCCTGCTGCATCCTGTCAACTTTCCTCTTCTCTTTTTAAGGGATTTGGCTACTTTTGCCTCATATTTCAGTTTATGGACCATAGACCCCGAACCATTTTCTTGATGAAATCTGTCCTCTCCCCTAGGATCTATTTATCATGGCTGGGTGCCATGGGAAGCCTCCCGTGGTGGGGGGAGATGCTGGTCCTGTCTCCTGAGGGCTCAGCTTCAAATTTGGCACTCTGCCCTCATTCCTCCATATAGAAATTATCCTCCCTAGCGTGGAATTATTTATTTTTAGTTCCAGTTTTACTGTTCTTGGGCTTTTTTCTGCCCACCTTCCTACCTTTGTTGACAGTGCATATTTTAATCACAAAAAAATGCCCATAAATGCATGAATGAGTAACTGATCCAAATGTATGAATAAAATAAAATTAAATGAATGAATGAAATGTCCTGAAAATAGTAATTTCAGTAGGCTTTGAGGCTTTTTACAAAAGCTCTTTTTAGTCTTAACCAAACCTCTCAACAGGGTCTTTTACTTCAATTTTATACTGATAATAGCTGTATCTTTAACTTATTGCAGAGTGGGAAGACCATACCCGGTGGTTGCTGGGGTTTTTTAGCTGCTGTGATTTTATTTCTTGTTGCTAACAGATCTTCCCCTACTTTTTTATTTTAAATGACAGGAATAATCACTTGCTCTTGTTTGTGCCAGGGACTGGGAGGGGGTCAAATTCATCTCAGTTGTCAGCAGGCACGGCTTTATCAAAATCCAGGCAGCATTTCCCAGCTCTGGATGTGCAAAGAGTGTGTGCTTGTGGGGTGTGTGTGCTCAGAGCCCCTGTGCCAGATGAGATGGGGAAATACGATTGTTTTCCCTTGGGAAATGCCTTTTTTAATTCGTTCATCAAGGATTTCTTTTATTTATGTCATTTCTTATGCAGCTGTGCACGTGTGCATGTGGAAATCTCATGTTGTCATTCTGGGTTGGAACACAGACCTTGGAGGGGAGCACTGAGAGCACACAGGGCACCTCCATTTTTCAGACATGGGACATCCCAAGCAGTTGGGTTGTTTTTCCAGGAAAGACCTCACAGGATAACTTTTACTTGGAGCAGTAATTTAAGCAGAGAGCACAAAGATGGGAGGAAGATTCTTTTTTTGAAAAATCACTTTGGGAGGATTAATTCATTGTTGCTCCTTTTCTCAGCATGGTTTAGACATCAGTGGAAAGACTGGATCCTTAAAGAAAAGGCATTTTTCCAGGAAAAAAATTCATTTCATACATGTTTTTTACATGGTCCCAGTGCATGGCTAAAAGCATGGACTTCAAGCCCTCTCCACAGTCCGTATTTCAGGATGTGGAAACCAAGGCACTGCCCCGGGCTCTGTGAGTCTTTCTCTGCCATCTGGGGTTGATGTAAATGACATGTTGGGTGACATGAGAGGACCCCTGAGCGAGATGGAATCAGGCCTATAGACTTCCCTTCCAACTTCCCATCTCATGCTTGAGTCTGGATATGGTCCCTATCCTTCTGGCAGCAAGCATGAGTACTTTTATTGGTTTTTTTGGTTGCTGTTGCTAGGAGTTTTGCTGCATGTTTCAGCAGAAAGTGTGGCTTTGTGCGTTAGCTCTGTGGTGAGCTCTCTGCCAGGTCTGCCCTACTTCTGTCCTGCGGGAAGGAGCAGGGAGAGGAGCAGGGAGCTGGAGTACCAAGCAGTGATGAGTGAAGCCAAGCTGGGTGCTGAGTACTTGCAGCATCAGGATGCCTGTTGGGGAACCTGTTGGGGAACCTCTTGGGAAGGGACAAAACCCCTGCTGATGGGGTCAGTCCAGCTTGGGACGAGCTTCCCTGAATTAAAACCCAGGTGTGACTCAGGTTTTCCTCTCCCCATTGTGTCTTCTGCAGTGCTGAGCATCCGGGGGGCGCAGGAGGAGGAGCCCACGGACCCCCAGCTGATGAGGTTAGACAACATGCTGCTGGCAGAGGGGGTGGCGGGCCCCGAAAAAGGAGGGGGCTCAGCCGCCGCTGCCGCCGCCGCCGCCGCGTCCGGAGGAGCCGGCTCCGACAACTCGGTGGAGCACTCCGACTACAGAGCCAAGCTGTCCCAGATCAGACAGATCTACCACACGGAGCTGGAGAAGTACGAGCAGGTAACAGGCTCCTTCGTGCTGGTGGGGCTGCTGCTGGTGGGAGCAGAGCGTGGATCTGCACAGCCTGGATCGCTCCTGACATCTGTTGTTAGGTGTATGGGCTCTGGGTGTGAGAACATGCTTTTTTAGGCTTGGCAGGGTTGGGGTTTTATGCTGGGATGTGGTGTGAGGGGTATGGGTATCAATGCAGGGTGCCCCCAGTGTAGGGAGTAATGTGCTCTGACTCCAGGATTCAGAAGGCTGAGCAATTGCTTTATTAATTCGTATTGTATTACACTAATACTATACTAAATTACATACTATACTATACTATACTATACTATACTGTACTAAAGAGATACTAAAGAAAAACCTGTGACTGTCTACAGGCAGCCAGGACACAGCTTGGACCCAATTGGCCAAGGAATCAAAAGAACCTTCACCAGTGTCCAGTTAACAAATCACTTTGGGTAAACAATCTCCATAACACATTCCACATGTGCCAAACAACAGGAGCAGTAAATAGAGAAAGAATTGTTTTCTCTTCTTCTCTGAGGTTCTTGCTGCCTTCCCCAGGAAAAATCCTTGGGAAGTTGTGCCTGCTGCTTTCTGTCAAGAGAGCTGCAGCCACAGTGTGGGTTGTCCCTTGGATTTTCACTTTTCACTCCTCCCCTCATACCTCTACCCAGAATTGGCTCTATGAAGGAAAAGGCCTCTCTGATATGCTGGCCTCAATTATGACAACTGTTCAAGCAGGACTTGAATCAGGATCTTCCTTGAATATATTTTCTCCTTGAAAAGCTCTCTTTCCAGGGGGAAAAGAAAAAAAAATTCTTGTAGTAAATTACTGTTAAAAAAGAAAAACTACTTGGGTTATGAACACAGCTATTAGTAACACTGGCAATTTCATGAAGAGCTTTTCAGGTCAGTGCTCAAAACCAGTTGCTTTCAAGTGCTTCCAGATGTTTTGCAGACCTCTCTTGGCCGCTGTGCCCCTTGCCCTTGTGGTTTCTACCCCAAGATTGTGGTTTATGGATATGAACAAGAGGGCACCACCTCTTTGGGTGCAGGACAGGCTCCACTGCCAGGGCCCAGGTGGGCTTTCAGATCTCTGGTTTAGATCCAGTAAAAGCTCCACTTTGCCTGGCTAACTGGGTGCGTGGTGGGGCTGGGGATGTCTCATCCCCATGGCCACGTTGGCCAGGCTGAGGGAAGGGTTAGAGCTGGAGTCAGGGTGGCCAGGCAGGGCTCTGGTAATGCAGCAGCCAAGCACAGTCGTGCCATGAGAGGCATTTTGGCAGAGCCTTAGGGCAGGCAGGGAGCAGGCAGGGGGCTGGTTGGAAGGATGACCTTTTGTGGCTTTTCTCAGCCCTTGCTGTCACTCCCTTGAGGCACAGGGAGGAGCCTCAGCCATCCCACATGGATGGGAGTGGAGAGCACCTCAGGGATCATCTTTCAGGCTGGAGAGGGGTAGAGAGACCTCGTGGCCTCTGCTACCCAAGTCCAAGGAGAGACTTCAAGGCTTCAGGGAAGGATCTCCTGCTTCTTCCTCCCTTGGGCAGGAGTTTTGTTTGTTTGATGTTCTGATTCTGTTTTTGCTTTGCTTTTGCTCCTCAAAGAGACACCCAGGTGAGAGAAGCCTTTAGCCAGGCCCAGAGGGTGGGATGGGCCACATCTTTCCTTCTCACAACCCACTAACAGGGTTTGATTTTGCCACTGAGTGGCTTTGCAAGTGGCTCTACTGGTCCACCATCTCTGGTACCATCACCCACAGTCCTGCAACACCGAGGCTCAGGGTTTTTCCACCTCCTTCCCACTCTCTCCAATCCAGCTGTTGGGAGCTCAGCCCCTGGCTTCTCAGTCTGGCTGCTTCTGGGTCAGCACAGCAATCAGTGGTGATTCTGCCTTTAATGCTCTTTATTTTGTGCCAAGAGGAGATGATCTGAAATTGCTGGGGTGTCTGGGAGCAATGAGATGCCCAGCTGAGAGCTCTGACAGCCAGCACTCATCCAGGGAGATGGGAGTCAGCAGCTGGAGCTGGCCTTGGGGATGTCTCCTTGTTGGGTCTGAGCCATGGTGGGAGTTCAGCTTGGAATGGTGGGGTAAGACAAGCAAGTCAAGCCCATCACCAGTCCACAAATCCAGTGTTTCTTTCCCCTGCCAGCCCCTTTTTCCCCATCATGGCATGGGAGCTGCAGACACTGTCCCCAGAGCAGCCACCCACATCCCAGGAGCACCTAAGGCTTCTCCAGCCATCACTGTCCACTGTTTTTTGGGGCTTGGTTCTGGGAATCAGAGGATCCCTCATGCCAGTGAGGTGCTCATGGGGATGAGGGAGAGGGAAGTGAAGTGGCCTTGATCTGGCTTCAAAATCCCCCCTTGTCCCCTGGCTCCTCTCTCTGTCCTGTCCTCAAGGCACAGCGTGGGGACAGCAGGAGCAGCCAGACAGTGCTGTGCCAGCAGCAAACTAATTGGGATTGTTACCTGCTTGCCCTTACTTGTCAGGGCTCCTGCCTCACTCAGGCTTTAATTATTATCCTTATTTACTTCTTACCTGATGTGCCAAGAGCAAGGAGCAGGGCCATGTCTCTCTGCAAGCTGCTCCTGTGAAGCACAAGGGGCTCTGCAGGACACATGGTGGGGCTGCAGGAGGAGGGGCAGTGGGTCAGAAGGTTCATGGTCCTCCTCAGATAAATCCTATAGCTCCTCCAGTCACAGCCAGGAAAACAGTGACTGGGACTTGTTCATGCTTTTCATGAATCCTAGGGCTTCATCTGCCCCAGCTCCATCCATGATCCCCCTGAGAGCAAAGAAATCGGCTCCTGTCTTTCCCAGCGTGTTTGTTGGGAGTCTCTCACACCCTGTGCTTGGCAGAGCAGGGAACTTTCTGTCTCCCTGATGCCTTTTTCAGGCTTAGCTAGAAACAAAGTTAAAAGGATAAAAGTGGATATATTTACTGAACGGCCTTCAGGTACATGAAGGAGCGACGAAGCCTCACTGAGGGGCTACACCCAAATTGGACCATGTCATGAGTTTTTCAGACAGATGAAGGAACGACGAAGCCTCACTGAGGGGCTACACCCAAATCGGACCATGTCATGAGTTTTTCAGACAGATACAAGTTTGGTCTATTTGCATATCAGGAGTTCATTCTCCAATTACAGCTTCAGGTAATGAAGTCAGATACCCTCAGTTTGCTACCCTCCCAATTCACTTTTGTTTACCTTTTTCGGGGCCTGAGGCAGAGAGGGTGTCCTTGAGTTTCAGGCCTAGAGGAATTGTTTTGTCTGACCAAAACGTGAAGAGAGTTAACTAACACTCTATATGAAAAAAAATACTAAATATATGAAAAATACCAAAGCTAAAATCCTAAGGCATCATCCCCTGAGCACCAGCACTGAGCCTGCTCTGGAAAGCCCCTGCCATGGAGGCCAGCACTCACATCTCCTCCCGTAGCCACGCTGCCTGCCCCATCCTCGACACCACCGAATGACCTTCCCATCCTGGGGTTTCTTTTGCTTTTCCTGCCATCCCAGGCGTGCAACGAGTTCACCACCCACGTGATGAACCTGCTGCGCGAGCAGAGCCGGACCCGGCCCATCTCGCCCAAGGAGATCGAGCGGATGGTGAGCATCATCCACCGCAAGTTCAGCTCCATCCAGATGCAGCTGAAGCAGAGCACGTGCGAAGCTGTCATGATCCTGCGCTCGCGGTTCCTGGACGCACGGTGAGCCCACAGCCCACCAAACCTTTCTGCAGTGTGCTTCGGGTCTGGGAGCTTCATGGGGCTGCTTTGGTTCTGGAGTAATCTGAGGGCGCAGTGAAGGGATGTGTCTTCAGCCAGAGGGGTTTTTTGCCTTCTTTTTGCCATGGTTTAGTTGAGGTGTTAGGGCATGGGTTGGACTCGATCTTGAAGGTCTCTTCCAACCCAGTCATTCTGGGAATTCTGGGAATTCTTTATCCCTTAGTGGTCTGTGGCTCAGCAGGGGAGGGGACTGCAATTCAAAACATCCATCAGGGAGGCTCCCAGCTGTACCTTGAGAGTTGCACACCCTGTTTTGCTGTGGCAGAAGGAAATCCTGTGGCACACTGCAACAAGCCTCTGTGGTGAAAACGTGCTCTTCACTTAGGGATAAAAGTTTATCCTCCAGGCCATCCTGTCCCCCCTAGAATCCCATTCATTTCCCACTGTTTTTATTGTCCCAGATTTTCAAATTGCTGTAAAATTATTTCATTTCCCAAGCTGGTTAGGTGCAGACTGTAGCTTGCTGTGGGGAGGAGAGGCAGCTACACCACAGGTACAAGGAAAGAGATGGCAGACAGGTAATAATGCCTAGGTGTGAATGGAACAGACTTCCCCAAGGATATATCCAGCCCTGCTTCCTCATCACAGAGCTTTGCAGAGTAGCACTGTCTTTGGCCACGACAGCCAGGTGTCAGGAGTCATCTTCCCAGGTGGAGGAGCTGGATGCCAGTTTTCAGACTCTGCTGTGAGCTGGAGGATACAGTGATAAATTTGAGATGGAGACTTGCTTGCTTTGAAAGGTGCTGAGAGAGCAAGGGGCAGATCAGAAACTTCCTGGCCGTGAGTCTTGCACTCCATGCAAGCAGAAGAGGGGGGAGGAAAGTGGGAAACTCAAGAGTATCTAAAATTGTATTATATTTTTGTATCCCTGGTGCTCATTCCCTTTCCTTTTCCTTCTGTTTCCCATTCTTTCTTGACGTGAAGGCGGAAGAGACGAAACTTCAACAAGCAAGCCACGGAAATCCTGAATGAGTATTTCTATTCCCATCTCAGCAACCCTTATCCCAGTGAGGAAGCCAAAGAAGAGCTAGCCAAGAAATGTGGCATCACAGTCTCACAGGTAAGACAGCTCAAAGCCTGGACCAGTGGGTAACCTCAGCATGGGGAAGGGTATTCCAGACCTCAGACCAGTCATCCATGTCCAGTGTTGAGCATTTAATTATTAAATCTGTTTAGTGCAGGTTAGTGAGAGTGGGTGGGAGTGCAGATGGTGCTTGCAGATTGAAGCTATGGATGGAAAAGGAAAGTCTGAGGGTGGATTTAGGAGGTATGAAGGCTCCCTCGAGCTGTGTGTGCAGCCAAGGTGTTGACAACACCGAAATGATGTGGCAGCACCCAGAGGGGCAAAGTCTCCTCAAGGAATTAGTTCTGGCCTGGCCTGCAAGAAGAGCTTGTTTGATCTGAAAGTCCTTTCTTCAAGGGATTAAAAGCAGTAGGAAGAGTTGTGCAGGTTTTGCTTGATAAGATAGAATGGACAAGTCCAGGTGGGAAAGACCTGGGTGCAACAGTTTGTGCTCAGTGAGGGTGGGATTTCTCAGGGTCGCTTCTCTCAGTCATTACCCTTGTGCTGCAGAACATGACATCTCCCTGACTTGCACATCCCTCAGAACATGGGGGTTAGTAATGACAAAATGAATTATTTCCATATGTTCAAGGAAGCCACATAGTTCCTGGAGCCTGTAGCTTTGACCTGGGAGCTGCTGTGATTTGTGAGGAGCGCAGCCAGCCCTTGAAACGTTCAGCCATACGTTGCTGAGGCCTGCCCTTCTTTATTTCCTCTCTTTTTGGAGCAGGCTGTGTGATTGAGAGCCAGTCTTTGTGGCCTGTGGTAGGCTTGTCCTCACGTGAGCTGAGCAGCCCCTCTAGGCTCCCATGGCATTCCCTGCCTTGGGCTGCTTCCCAGCCCCAGGCACGTGCCTGCTCGTCACTTGAGTAAACTGCAGACAGCAGCAGCATCTGGTGTCCTTGTGGGAGCGTGTCTGCCTTCAGCAGGAGCAGCAGCATCCAGGGGAAGGTGTCATCACCGTGCTGAGTGCCTGCTGAGTGACTCCAGTTGCCTCCCCTGGGCTGGAAGACCCAAACGTTGCTTCTTCCCAGAGTTAGCAACAGGAGACAGCACATATTGGCTTAAGTAAAGCTCCAGCTGTCCCAGTGCTTCCCCTCTCACTTCTAATTCATCTGTTCACACTTACAACTTCTCCTTTGCAAAGACAAAATGCCCAGGAGAAGTGCTGCACTTAGGAGGTCGTTTTGAGTGTGCTGTATCAAGGCTGCTTTGTGCCTGTCTGCAGGATCTGCCTCCCTTCTTCATCCAAATCAGGCAGAAACAAACACACATCCAGGTCTGGTTTTGCTGAGACTCAGTGGGAACACAGGTCCCATGAGTGTGTGCAAGTCCTGAGCAGAGCTGATCTGAACTCAGAGTCTGATCAGATTAGGCAGGTGCTTCACAGATTTTAAAATGCAGATAGGTTGTGGTGGCTGGGTATTCCAACCTCCTGCCCCGTGGTGCTCAGAGTTCACCCAGGATGGGGAGCCAGAAGAGCAGTCATGAGGAGATGTCCACGTGGAAAGATCATGAAGGAGCACATTGTCATTAGTGACAAAGCTGGACCAAGAGGTGGAATGGAGCTCCTTGCCAACAGCACCAGCTCCTGGTGGTGCCATCAAAATGTTTGCTCCCAGATCTGGGCTGGGCGCTTATCTGAGTCTCTGCAGGTTATATTTTCTTTTTCCTGCTCTGCAGGGTTGATACTTGTAACTCAGTAGCCATTAAATTGGTGGATGGAGCCACGTCTGTTTGGAAGCTGCTGAATGCTCTAATAAGCACTGCAGATAGAAAGCAGCACAGGAATAAAAGCTTATGGGTTTCAGTTATCAACACAAGCCCAAGCTTTCCCTAAGATAAGGAAGAAATCACAGGCTTCAAAGGATGAACATCCATTATTGTCTTCTGTGTCTTTGGCTCTAGCTCACCATGCAGGTGCTTGCTCACCAGCAAGCAAAAGGAGATTGTCCTTGGAATCTCACCGAAGGGGTTGGTCTTGCTAGCTCAAGATTGCAGCTCCAAGCAGTCCTAGGAGTGTTGGAACATTTCTGGAGAGCTGCAGCATCCTCCTCGTTGGCCCATTCCCTTCATCCTGATATGCTCTCTCAAACAAAGTCAGTAGTGGCTGGAAGTTGTCTTCTGCTTAGAGAACTGCACATAGGAAGATATTACCCTGATTCCTGTGTTCAGTGCTGATGAAGAAGAAGCTGATAGCTGCTTCTCAAGCTGTGGGGTTGAATCTTTACCATGTCTTCTTTGAAGTTCAATGTGAGGTAGTGCCCACAAGTGAGCAGGAATATCATCAGCATGTCTCTGGGCAAACACAGTAGAAACATCTCCCACCCTTTCTCAAAGCACACACTTCTTTCCTGGGACCAAAGTTAGGTTTTAGGACAAGTCCTGTGCTTCCTCTCCATCCTTCCCCTGAAGTTCCTGGTTCATGCAGTGGCTCATGCTAAACCTTGCAAAGCCAAGCTCAGTTGGACAAGGAGCATCCACTTCTGGCTTTGTACCCTGATTCCCCTCAGATGGATCAAAAGCGAGCTTTGCTGAGACTGAGGCAATTCTGTGTGTCAGCCAGGCCCCAGTCAATTCTCTGATCAGTCAGGCATCTATCCCATCAAAGGGATACTGAGGAGGAGGCAAATAAAAATGACACACACCTGTTCTCAAACTGTGCAACTTTCGGGTCATTTGACTTTGTCGTGTTTTTTTGAATCCTTAAGGTTTTTGTGGGATGGGTCTATGGGTTCCTGTGGAATATCCCATCTGCAGCAGAACCAGCTACACCCACGCAAACCCAGTGCTCCCAAGGGGCTCCTGTCACCTTTCCTGGGCTTGGTGTGGCACACACGGGTGAAAGGTGCTAGGAAAGCTGAGGGGGGAAAGAATCTGCACTGCTTAACCTGAACTAATCCACCTTCTTCACCCAGGTGCACTTGGCAGAGCTGAAACCTTAACTTGTCCTTGTCTCCTCTTGAACTCGCTCTAGGTATCAAACTGGTTTGGAAATAAGAGAATCCGGTACAAGAAGAACATAGGTAAATTTCAAGAGGAAGCCAATATTTATGCTGCCAAAACGGCTGTCACGGCTACCAACGTGTCAGCCCATGGAAGCCAGGCTAACTCACCCTCAACTCCCAATTCAGCTGGTTAGTTTTTATTTTTCTTTTGTTTTGGGTTGTCAGTGTTTGGTTTTTTGTCCGTTCTCCCCTCTCCCTCTAGTCTCTCTCTTGTTTTCTCCTTTTGGTTGTTTCAGCTTTTATTCTCTGGGTCTGGTTTGCTCATTTTTGTGGTCTTAAAAAAAAAAAATAAGGGAAATGGGTTTGGTGAGTTTTTTGGGGGGATGGGTTACTTTATTTTCTTTGCTTTTTTCCTACCTATTTTCTCCTTTTTTTTCCCCTCTTCCCTTTCCCTATTCTGTTTTTTGTTGGAAAAAAAGGATGTGATTGTACCTTGTGACTGGTGGTGCTGTGCTGGGGGTTATATGCATGGATGGTAAACACGAAACCAGAAAAGTGGTCCACAAACCATGGATGGGATTGCTTGCACTTTGGGGGAAGAAAAAAGAGTAATAGAAAAGCTATTGTGTAATGATTTTATTTCACTGGGGCTGAGAGCATGAGTGATCCTAATGGACAAACCCCAGCATTTCTGAGATGTCCTAGCTCATGCCATTTTGGGGGTTGTTGTGGGTAAATTTTTATCCTTTGATTTTCTTTCTGTTGTGGTTATCTCTTTGATTGCTTACATGACAGTGTCTGGATCACCTGCAAGAGTGTGCTCTGTGTGAATTTTATTTTCCCTTTGTGTCAGTGCAATCCAGAGAAATTCATGGGTTGTTCCCTTCCCTTCCCTTTCCCCTCTTCCTTCCCATTTGCTTTGGTTTCCATGTGTTTGTTTTGAGAATCAAAGGCACAGAGCACTTTGCCCAGATTTCAACTCCTCTGCTAGAGAATGATACTCAGTTCATGCTTGGTGCCTGCTGCAAGGTTGGCCAACCCAAAAATGATCAGGGGCTGCGGATCCAAGAGCAGTAGAAAATTGGGGTTTGTTTACAAGGAGAGGAAAAAAAAAACAACTTCATGAGTGCCATATACTTTGTAATCCATGCAAATATTTGTGTGCCTGTTTTCTTTTTAGGGGTGGGAGGGAAAGTGGGAATGTGCCATTCTTGAGCCTTTGAGCTGAGTGTTTGCTCACGGTGCCCTTCCCTGGGGATGTGATGCTTGGTGTTATCAGAGAGGCAGGAAGGGAGCAAAGAGGATGGTGGGCAGCAGGATGTCACACAGGTCATGCAGGTGCTGGCTGCCATCAGGACATGCTTCTGTAGTGAGCACAACCCTGCTTCTGTAGGTATCAGAGGAATCACACTCCAGAAACACCCCTGGCTCTGGAGCATTTGAGTGCCAGGGGTCACACAAAGGGAGGAAGCAGTGACATGGGTCTCTGGCCAGGACAATCTCTCCCACCTCTTCCTCACCCAGGTGTGTCTGCTCTGGCTCAGGTGCTCTGAGGGCTTAGGTGGATGCAGCAGAGCTCTGCAGAGACAGTTTGCTGGAGTTTCGTTTGATTCTTTTTGGTTTGGGGATTTTTGTTCCCCTCGTGTTCTCTCAGCTGATGAAGATTTAACTGCATTTTCAAAAATGTCGTTCTTTCCAAAGAGCTCACACAAAATACCTGGCCAGGTGGGCTTTCCTGGTGTTAACACCCCCTGTAGAAAAGGCTGGAGGGAATTCTGCTGGAGAGGGCAGAATTGTGTGTGTAGAGGGAGAGGCCTGCTGCCTGTGATGCTGTCCTGCAGCCCACATCAGTCTGGACCAAAGAGGTGCAGCTTTCCTTCTTTTCCTCTTTCTTCAGCTGGAGTCAGATCCAAAGGTCTGGAATAGCAAGGGAACAGCTTCAGATTGCCTGAGTGGGTTAGGATCTGGGCTGCACATAGGAGGATAAGCATTTCCTCACTGCCTGACCTGTTAAATAGTGCTCCAGAGCAGGGCTGTTTCCTCGCCTTCCCCACAGGCAGTAACGCGGTTGTTTCAGAGATAAATTGGCCAGTGCCCTGCAGTAAACAGCTGAGATAATCCCTGGATAACACTGCACTTTCAAGAAAGGACAAACAGTCCTGTTATTAACAGGGAAAACTTGAGCTCCTGGGTCCTCTTTGTGGCTCACTTGTCTGCAGTCTGGAGTCATTGACCTCTTTTCGCATGCCTGAAGTGTCAGTGGTGCTAAAGCAGTGCGAAGGGAGCTTGCAGGCCACAGAGATCCTTCTTCTGCTTAGAAATGAAGTGTTCCTAACCTGGCCCAGGTCCCACACCCTGCCTGTAATGCTGCAACAGTGGCAGGGCAGCGGGGAGGCTCTGGTTGCTCTGGGTCAGCTTGCAGAGGTGGTGGGTTTGGGTGTCCTTCTAGATCCTATCCTGAGAAGACAGCTGGAATTGTGTGGGATTTTTATCTCCTGACAGTTGAGATCCTCCCAGCTGAACCACACAGATGTAACAGCTCAGTCAAGCATCCCTGCATGGTCACATTTTGGGACAAAGACATGTCCTGAGGACATCAAGTGATCTCCCCTGCTTCAGTTATCCTGTAGGTCCTAGCAGCAAGAAGCAAACCTGCACATGTTAGGTCTGAAATACATGTCTGAGAAAGATTGGGACAATTGTGTCCAGGACCATGAGCCATTGGATGTGCTGAATTCTCCAGGGAGGATCGTGGAAGCTGATGAAGAGGTGAAGAGCTAAGATGGCCAATGCCTCTCCTTCTACACTGTGGACTTCCTTTTGTTCCCAAATCATTGGCTGAGCCTTTGGTGAGGAAGTAGCCTGAGCAAAGATAGGACTTCCTGGGAATTTGTAGGACTTCTTGGTTTAAATACATTATAGAGCATGTGGAAAGAAAGTAAGCAGAGGACATGTCATGAAAATGACCAGCAGTGGAGTCCCTGGAGGGCCGTGATGTTGGAAGAGGAGGTGGAACTGGATGCAGTGGGACCTGGGACAGGAGCTAAATTCATTTCTGCTGTGACCACGCAGGCCCATCTGTTCTCTCATTGATGCCCATGTTACTGGAGATCAGTGAATGGCTACAGTTAGTCAAAGAGATTGGCCACACATTGACAAGGGCAAGGATTGCATCTGTCTGGCCATCTGGCAGGTTGAGAGCAGGGTCCCCCATCCTCAGTCACCCAGGCCTGAATGTCAAACACCTTTTCATCCGGAATACGCGCGGTTGGGCTTTATTGGCCAGATGTTCAAATAAGCTGAGAAGTCTGGCTCATTTGGGCTAACAACTCCCTGTCCTCACTTTGATTTCCTGGACAACCTCAGCACAAAAACCACATGGCAAATGAAAGCTGTTTAATGTGGGCAGAGCCTTTTGCCAGCTAGAGTCCTCAAGGGCCACGCACAGGTGATGGCATCCAGTGAAATCTTGAGTGCAGAGTGGCCAAAATTGTCCTGAGCTGGTCTTTTTTTTACCTGATCATCCTTTTGTTTTGTAAAAATTTTCTTGTGAAGCTGCTGCCTGGAAATGTACTTCATCAGGCATAGGTGTCTTCTCTGCCTTCCTCAATTTATGTCCAGAACACACCACTGGAGAGGACTCTGCTTCAGCAGAGACTGTTCTGGTCATGCCTTCACTGTCCCCAATGTTTGGCAAGTGAAAAAGAACAAATGTCCTGCTGGATCATCCCTGGATTTTGGACCTGCACTGTGGCTTTGTCCAGCTAAGGAGTTACACAGTCCATCACCACATTCTTCCCTCATTTTTGGCCACAGTAGAGACTCCACAAAAAGTCACAGAAGGCATAAATCTTGTGCTCTCAATGCATGTGTGTCATTGCTGTTGACTTCAACTGGGAATCTTGTAGACATGACCAAAGTCACTTCAGAGGTTCAGCTGGATCTCTCCTGTTGGTGGTAGGTGGAATGAGGCAGCAGATGAGGATGGCTTGATTTCAGCTCCAGTGAACACTATTATCCTGTTTGTTTATTCATGGTACCATTTGAATTGTCAGATACTTTAGAGAAAACTAGAGGTCTTGGAGAACTGGAGGTGGAAGTTGAGACGGTCAGAACACAGAAGACATCAGAGAAGTTGGAGAAAAAGCTCTCTGAAGAGCTGGAAAAGTGGTGTAAGAAATACCAGCGGTCAAGTTTGTGAAGATTATTGAAATGGAAGCAAAATTGAGGTGGGCTTTGCTCATCAGAGGTGTTAGACGTGGAAGAAATCTCTTAGAAGGCATTGTTTTGATTTAGGCTTTCACCCAGGGCAAGATTGACTGACAGAGTTTGCTCAGACATTTCCAGCACTCTTTGTAAAGCTGGTGCTGATAGAAACTCAACACCAAGGAATAGTGGGGTTGAGTCTTGGTGTTAAAAAGATGTCTGGATGCTGAAGATGAAACGCTCTTCCACACTGCTGCAACCATGAGTTTTCTGATAGGTTTTTTTATCTACCCACAATAATTCCAGGGACTTCCACACCAAGATCAGAGCGCTTTCCTCCTGGGCTCACAGGCTCAGATGAGATTCTCTCATTCACAACCTCTCAGTTCCTGAGGATTTCCAGACCAAATTACAACCACCCAAAAAGCCTGTGCTGCATTCAGGAAAAGAGCCTTTCAGAGAGACAGGTTAGGCTTACAATGGGGCCTCCTCATGGAAGGACTTGACTTGTATTCCTGGATCTTATCTCTCTGGAGGATATCTGAGTCTAAATTTTCAGGGCTCTTCACAGTGCTGCCCTCTCTCCCAGCTGGGTCCCCTCTTAGCTGTGGCTCAGACTTTGGGGCACTGTGATTTTGAGTGTGGTGGGTGCACAGACAGCCAAGTGCTGAAGCAGCAGCGTGGCAGTGCAGAGGGCTCTGCAATTACAGCTCTGATCCAAATGCATCCATACGTGCGGGGCCATTGGTATGCGCATATTTATCTCTGCATCCACATCAGCAGCAAGACATATTTACCGTTTAGATATGCACATATATTGTAAAAACACCCCTTGCCAATAGCAGTGTATATCTTGTAAGTGACATTTCCAGCGCTCCTCATGATTTCCAAGACACCGTTGCTCTTCAGAACTAGAGTTTGTGGCTGTTTGTTTATTTTTATTTCCTCCCTCCCAGTCTCAATTTTATGGCCAGGTTTGTTAAGTTTCAATAAAATATCAGTTAAGTTTATGGCATTTTTATTTGTTATTGTTGTTATAATTTTCTTTTGGTAGGGGAAGGTGGGATGAAATGTTGCTCTGCTGGGGGCAGAGTGATAGCAGTGCCATGCCAGGTGCTTAGGGATTCCAGAGTCCTCTCTCTAGCTCTGCCATTGATTATTTGTGTGATCTCAAAGATTTCTGCTCGCCTCAAAAGAGGAAGGAAATATTCTCTGCTTCTTGGGAAGGGTAGCTGCAGAGTCTTTTGGTTCTCAGCCACTGTGGGAGCACAAAGCTGCGTTACTGCCCTGTGCTTTTGTTAAGGTGGTCAAGGCAATCACTCAGAAAACGGGGTCAGAAGCATCTTTGTGTGTGTGAATCATGCCTATCTTCATGCTTAAAGTTGATCACTGTCAGGGTGGGCTGGCCCCAGTCTGCCAGCTCATTTCTCTAGGTTTTTTGCCTTCAAAATAGCAAGTAACCTGAGAGGTCAGGCAGTGACAGGAGCCCTTTGCCAGCTGAGCAGAGGAGGTGATGGTTACAGCTGCCTCCTGACTAGTCCCGGTTATTTTACGCAGCGCTGTGGGATTGCTCTCTGGAACAGGTTGGGCAGGTTGACAGTGAGCACAGACAATGAGCTATTCTTGGCTTCACAGAGCACCAGTGGGAGGGTCCTGATCCAAGACTCAGTGTGCTCAAGATGAGTCTTTTGACTGTCTTGGGTGTTGTATCTAGCAGTGATGTTTCTGCTTTCCTTGGATTCTGAGAACTGCCAGCACCTGACAAAAGAGCTGGTCACTAAGAGAGCAGCAGAGAATGTAGTGAATGAGGTCTCCAGCATAGACCTCCCACCTGCTCCCTGACCTCTGTCAGAGGTGGCTTCCTTCAGAGGAGCCTTCCTGGTCCACCTCCAGGGCGCAGCTGGGATCTGTCCCTGTTTCTTCCCTGTCCAGCAAAGGGAGGGGGATTGCCAGGCATTTCTCAGAGCCATAGTTGGGCAATTCCACCAGGACTGTGGTTGCCAGTCTTCCAAGCTGGAAATGGCAGTGTAGATGATGAGAGTATATTTGGGACTGGAGCTGAAAGCATAGCTGACCTGGGCCCCTGAAGTCTCTCCTTTCCAAGGCTAACGTCATGTATAACTAAACCTTGCACGTTGAGCTGTCTCACACTTAACGCGCTGATCTGCACGATAAATTCTGAAGTAATCCCATAAAACCTTTTTATTTATTTTTAACCCCCTTGCTGCCTTCCCTGCCTTACAGTTACGTGATGGGTTTGTTTCTTCTGTTAAGTGGTTGAGGAGGTGCTCAGATATCTCTCAAAGCTGGAGGCATAAAACTTTTATTTTTGCAGAGGCGGGATTTATTTTTTCTTTTCATTTGTGATTTTTTTTCTCCTGATCCCACCCAGTTGTCTTCACTGTTACAGTTTTTTAGTCTAACAGTGACGACTGGTGCATGCAGCGGGGAATTTGCTTACAAAGCTTGTTCCTCTGGGGCAGCTGGCCCAGGAGGGCTGTGACACCCTTGTGTTCTCTCACGGGCCATCACAGTGAAAGACTTTTGCCAACGTGATGGGCACTGGGAGTCTAACCCAGGTGCCTTCACATTTTTGTGAGCCTTTGCTCCTGGTGCTCTGCAGTTCCCACCCGTGATGGGTTCCTGATGTTCTGAAGGCAAGCCGCACGTGGCTCAGCCAAAGCTCCAGCCGTGGGGCTGGATGGGCTCTGGAAGTCTCACCCTGCAGGGAGCAGTACAGGCTAGAATTACCCACGCTTTTCTGAGCTTCTCAGTATGGCCTTGGTTCACCTGCTGCAAAGGCTTCTGCTCTTGATAGCAGGGCTTGTCTGGGTAATTCTGGTCTCCAGTGCAGTCTGCTGGGTGAACACCTCCAACAACTGAGGTCTTTCAGAGCTATTTGAAGGATTCTGATGCTGTCTGAGTCCTCCAGGCTGTGTTTTGTTTATCTCAGTCAAAAGCATGAAGAATCCTTCCTCCAGCTGAGGAGCTGTTGAAGAATGTTCTTGGCATTGAGCTGTAACAACATGTGGCTTTGAATAACCTCAAGAGTGCATCCTTTTTTTTTTTGCTTGCTCTGTTCTTCATACTACTAACCTGACTGTGTGTTTTTGTTTTGTGGTTGCTTTGCATGTTGTTCCTTCCTCTTGGCTGAGAGTCATGGGGTGGATCCTTTTCCTTTCTGTGATTCAGGTGCCTCACTCTTTCCTTTCCAGGTTCTTCCAGTTCTTTTAACATGTCAAACTCTGGAGATTTGTTCATGAGCGTGCAGTCTCTCAATGGGGATTCTTACCAAGGGGCCCAGGTTGGAGCCAACGTGCAGTCACAGGTAGGGACCCATCCGATGTACTGCCAGTGAATGCATTAGTGTTGGAGGAGCCTTTGATTGTATTGGCACTTCTCCCTCCCGTCTGAAAAGAGCAAATCTCAACCAGCACAAATCAACCAACCAACACTTAAAAAAAAGGCAATCTAAACCAAAAAACCAACCAACCAAAAAAAAAAAAAAAGGCAACAGGAACAACCACCAAAAGAAAAAACCAAAAAAACCAAACCAAAAAACAATCCAAAAGAAACCAAAACCAAACACCCAACCAAACCAACAACCATGGTCTTGAGGAGACTTGCCCACACTTTGTGAATGCATTTGGCTCTGGCTTGATAGTCGTACTAGGAGGAGAGAAGGTGTAGAAGAATAGGCACAAAATCAAACAAAAGCAGCTCAGGTTTAGGTTCTGCTTGCTTTATTCTTCCAAGGGAATGGGCCAGATGTTTGGACTGGTGTCTCGTTTTCCAAGACTTCCACTTACTCCTTTGATGCCAAACTAGGTGTCTGCTGAAAGGCAATAGATGTTCAAATATGTAGATAATTTTTTTAATTTATTTTTTTATAATTAAAAGCCACCCTTGTCCATTTCCCCACCTCCCCAAAGCACAAGCACTCACACCACCCCTGTACATACCAGGAGGAGAGAGCAAGGGAGCTTTGAGCAGCAGTGCTGAAACATCAACCCATGCTTGGGGCAAAAAGAAAGAATTTAAAATAGCCAGGATCTCATTCAGATCCCGCACCTCCCATCCGATGTCCAGATATGCCATGAGTCCCCTCTCTGGCATCTAAGGCTCTGTTCTGTGCTGAGAGACGACAGCCACTCTGACACTTCTGCATTGGGCAAGGAGAATTCTCTAAAGCTGAGGCTGCTCCCCCGTGGGGCTGGACGTGGAGCACACATCATCCATGGGCGGTGAGACGTGCTCACCACATGTGCCACTGCTGGGGCTGGGCTGGGGGTGTGAGGGAGAGGAAGGGGCACCCAGAGGAGAGCTGCTGGTGCCTTTGCCATGGTAGGTATATTTCCTTTCTGGGCCCTCCACAGTGGAGGCGCTCAGCCAGCTCCAAAGATCTCCTTCTGCTGCCGTGAGCAGTGCTTGGGGTCAAGGGTGGAAGGGGGTAGGGGTAGGAAGGTGGGTGCTTGAGCACAATGGTGGAGATGGCTGCAACGATGTGCTCCAGGAGATGCCACCCCACGCTGGTCATGCTGCTCTCCCTCCCCACTCTTTCTGTCAAAGGACATGGGACCAAGGAGAATGTCACAGGGCTGCTGGGGCGGGCAGGGGATGGTGAGGGAGGCAGGAGAGGTCCTCTGGCTCATTTCTCTCCACAAGACCAACTGCAGCTCTCTTTGATCCCTCTTCGAATGTACACCTTCATTTTTATTACGATGATGACCATGATCGTTGTTATTCCTGTTTGTTTACTTTTATCTTGCCAAAAATGAATGGAAGCAGCTTTGGCCACTAACATTTCCTTCCCTCTAATTTGTCTTTGTTGTTGTTGGTCTGTTTAGGTGGATACCCTTCGCCATGTTATCAGCCAGACAGGAGGATACAGTGACGGACTCGCGGCAAGTCAGATGTATAGTCCGCAGGGCATCAGTGTAAGGAAAAAAACAGGCTTGGGTTCTGGTCTTTTGGGTTGGTTTTTTTTCATTTTTTCTTCTCTCACTACCAATTATTTCAAAGCCATAGGGCTCAGAATGCCACTTAGTAGGACTTGTCTTTGCTTTTACGGTCACCTAGTTTATTGCTTCAGTATCGGTCACGCCAGCGGCGGAGCTTTACCCACAAAAAAAGTGGCAAAGCCGGGGCAGGCTGCGTGCAGGCAGCTGGCGTCTCGGACTGTCACAGCCCATCAGCGTTCGCCCGGCACCTGCGGCCACGCGCGCTCGGCCACGAGGAGCTGCTAAACAGGTGACACCTCCCGTATCCATGGTGGGGAACGTCACCGCAAACACCCCAGCTCCGTCCTCGTGGCACCATCCTGGATGGTTAAAAATAACCCATCCCTGGCCAGGGTCCGAGAGCGCGGCGGCGATGCGGGGTTGGCGGCGATGGCGGTTGCGAATAAAAGGAGGAAAAAAACCCACAAAGCCAACCAACGTCAACCCAAGAAAACCTCGCCCAAGCAGGCTGGGGGAGGATGAGAGGGGGAGGGCGGTCTCTGGAGCATCTTCTCCTTGTTCTTGGGTGCGCTGGCGGGTTCTGACTAGCATGAAAATTCGTAGCGACAAGCTGTGTCGCACAGGGGGAAATCGATCAGACACACACAAGGAGAACCCAGTGTAGATTCGGGACAGCAATCCAACTTCATTTCTCAGATCAATCGTCCACCATCTCAGCGGCAGTGACAGCAAGCTGGGAGAGGAGGGCAGCCTGGAAAAGGAGGCTGTGAGCGCTGAGTGGGTGGTGGCAGTGGTGTCCGGGGTGGCACAGAGGAGGAGGCAGCTGGCCCTGGACATGGGGACACTGATGGGTGAGACAGGGTGGTCTGGAACTGGTCGGAGAGGTGATGATCCTCTGGGTGGGATGCTGGTCCTGCAGCCGAACCCCAGCACGGTGCCATCACCAGCCAGTCCCATCACTCTCCAGTCCACAGGGCCATTTGTCACCTGGCATGTGACCATCCTGCAGGACGGCCACCACCAGCATGCAAAGAGGGCGCAGGGAGAGGGCTGTCCTGGGACGGGGGGCTCTGCTCCCCTCTCCTGCGGGCGCCGGGGCTTAGTGGGCGGCTTGACGTCAGGAGGCAGAGGCAGGGCAGATTTGTGAAGTAATGTAATTGAACATGTGCAGATAATTATGTCTCATTACATAAGCCCCTTGCAAAAACGGCACTTGGAAATGCCACATGAAAGAGCCTATCGTTCTGCATTAATTTCTCCGTGTGCTGAATTTATTCCCTTTCTGGCTTTTTAATACTTGGAGAGTAAATGAATCGCAGGCTGATCATGATAAGAGATGATACTTTTGTATAAATTAAAATACCCCCAAGGAAGGAGGCTGAGCTGATTACAGTTGCAGTTGGCTTGGAAAATAACAGTGGGCTGGGTTAAGCCAAAATTTGGGGGAGAGAGTTGCTGCTGGGGATTATGAGGCAGGGAGGGGGTGACTGGGGAGCGGAGAAGGAAGAGAGAGCGAAAACTCAAAAGCTGAATAGGACAAGGAGAGCTGGGCTGGTGTTTCTGGCTTCTCTGTGGAGAGAACCAGTATTCCCATGAGTAGCAGTAACTGGTGAACTGAGAGTGGCAGGGGCTTGGCAGTTCCCTCTGTGCATCCCACATGGAGACGTGGCATGTTTGGCGTCCCATGTCTTCTCAGGCTGGTTTTCAGGAAGGGCAGGAGCCCAAACTGACCCATTTTTGATGTTGTCAAGAAAGGGGCAGGTTGGCAAAGGGACTGCACCGTGTGGGTGACTCCTCAATTCCCCACAAAGCTGTGGTAGGCATGGGGAATGAGGCAGGGAGTCCAGAGCTGAGCAGACAGTTTAGGAAGCACCTTCTGGATTGCCTGTTTGTTCCCCCTGTATCCCAGCCAGCGTGCTCCAGCCTGATTGTCACTTAATGTCTTCCCATCCATTGAGGTCCTTTGATACATCCCATTTTGTCCCCGCTGAGGTGTGGCTGCCCTTTTGGAGGCATTGGTGCTGGGGAACTCTTCGGTGCAGGCAGGGTGACTGTCTCTAACAGGCAGGGCTTCCCTGCCTTTCCCTGAACCCTTCCATGCCGAGGAGGGGCGGTGGAATGCGGAGCAAAGCTGATTGTGACACTGAAAGCTGCCGTCCCCACATCACCCGAGCGTCCCCGTGAGCTGCTGGAAGGAGATGAGCCGAAACCTAGTCAAGAGCCCTGTCACAATGATGTCTGCACGGGGCTGAGGTTAAGTCATCCCTGGAGCCCGTCAGCACCGGGAAGTCAGCGGCAGGTTGCCCAGCTCCACTGCTGGAAACCTTGGCAGGAGAGACAACGCTCGGGGTTTGCCTTCCTTGATGGAGGATGAATTTTTAAATGCGTGTAAGTCGTGACAGCTGAGAAGAGGGATCTACCCACAGCCCAGTTCCCTGCGAGGCTCTGCTGCTGTGGCTGACAGGCTGCTCCGCAGGGCAGGAAGGGCTGGAGTCGGTTCTGCATCGTTAGCAGGATAATGGGCAGTGTCCCAGCCATGGCCAGCGCTGTGACCCACAGCTGAGGCACAGGGAGAACAGAGGCTTTCCTTCACAGGTGGGGACAGCACCCATCCCAGCAGGGGATGGGGACACTGACAGTGGAGGGCTGGTGGACAGGAGCTGTCCTGTGGATACCCAGCCTTGGGTCACACTGAGAAGAAGCAGGGACCTCCCCTCCTTTCCCTCCTGTGAGCCACCCCTTTTGGCAAACTTTGAGGCTGTAGGGTTTTGGACCATGAGGTGAGAGTTGTTAAATGTCTGGGATGTCTGGACAGTGTTTGTTCATGGGGGTCCACATGTGTATCCAGGAAGTCTCCCAAGACCAGGGATTTCAAAACATTTAGGAAAGCTCAGGTTCTGTTGGGTTCCAGTAGAAGATGGATATTTATTGCCACAGTCCTCTGGAGGGTCCTGCCCCAAAACATCACCTTTCCTGCCACTGCCCTATGGCTGTAAATCCATCAAGTGTTCTACTTCCCCCATATGCTAATGCATGAGTGAACTATAGTCATCTTAAAGCCCTTTCAGAAATTTGGTTTTGGACTTAATTTAATTTACAGATGATTGAAACGTGTAAAATGACGAGCTGTTCTTAAAGTTCATCAGAGAGTGAAGATTTTTATTAAAAACTGCTGCTGTGCAGACCTGTGCTTGTTCACAGAGCAGCGTGTGTGTGACCTGGATGGTGGTGGCCAGTGGCAGGGTGTGACAGGGAATTTTCAGTCCACTCTTGTCAGGGCTGAGGTTAAGTCATCCCTGGAGCCCGTCAGCACCGGGAAGTCAGCGGCAGGTTGCCCAGCTCCACTGCTGGAAACCTTGGCAGGAGAGACAACGCTCGGGGTTTGCCTTCCTTGATGGAGGATGAATTTTTAAATGCGTGTAAGTCGTGACAGCTGAGAAGAGGGATCTACCCACAGCCCAGTTCCCTGCGAGGCTCTGCTGCTGTGGCTGACAGGCTGCTCCGCAGGGCAGGAAGGGCTGGAGTCGGTTCTGCATCGTTAGCAGGATAATGGGCAGTGTCCCAGCCATGGCCAGCGCTGTGACCCACAGCTGAGGCACAGGGAGAACAGAGGCTTTCCTTCACAGGTGGGGACAGCACCCATCCCAGCAGGGGATGGGGACACTGACAGTGGAGGGCTGGTGGACAGGAGCTGTCCTGTGGATACCCAGCCTTCGGTCACACTGAGAAGAAGCAGGGACCTCCCCTCCTTTCTGGAGGTTTGGGGTGTGAGCCACCCCTTTTGGCAAACTTTGAGGCTGTAGGGTTTTGGACCATGAGGTGAGAGTTGTTAAATGTCTGGGATGTCTGGACAGTGTTTGTTCATGGGGGTCCACATGTGTATCCAGGAAGTCCCCCAAGACCAGGGATTTCAAAACATTTAGGAAAGCTCAGGTTCTGTTGGATTCCAGTAGAAGATGGATGTTTATTGCCACAGTCCTCTGGAGGGTCCTGCCCCAAAATATCACCTTTCCTGCCACTGCCCTATGGCTGTAAATCCATCAAGTGTTCTACTTCCCCCATATGCTAATGCATGAGTGAACTATAGTCATCTTAAAGCCCTTTCAGAAATTTGGTTTTGGACTTAATTTAATTTACAGATGATTGAAACGTGTAAAATGACGAGCTGTTCTTAAAGTTCATCAGAGAGTGAAGATTTTTATTAAAAACTGCTGCTGTGCAGACCTGTGCTTGTTCACAGAGCAGCGTGTGTGTGACCTGGATGGTGGTGGCCAGTGGCAGGGTGTGACAGGGAATTTTCAGTCCACTCTTGTCAGCAAGGATTGGTACAGGAAGAAGCTGAGAGCTCCTTACTTGACCTGAGATCTTTTGTTCTAAAAAGTTGAGCCTTAGGGGAAAAAAGTTGTTGCTCTGTTCCCCAGCCAGCTGCAGTTCACCATCGTGGTCAAGTTTTGGTTCATGGTCCTGACCACTAGCTGGGGTATGGAAGTTTGTCTGGCAGGGTTTCAGTACACAGGCTCCATCCATAAGGGATGCCTTGGTGTGTTCTGATGGCCAGGGATGCCTGCCCATGACCCTTGGGAAGGGATGTCCTGACCAGGCTGGATTCTCTGGTGTGTGATAAGACCTTCAGTGCATATTGTAAGGAGGCCCTGATAGAAGCTCTGAAAAGGCATCAAGGCTGCTCTGCCAGACTGGCTGGTGACTGGTGTGTTTCGAGGCTGACCTGATGCCTGGTGCCATTGTTGGTGGGACAAGGATTTGGTCACAGGAGGTGGGGTGCTGAGACAGCCCCTGTGCTAAGCAGAAGGAGTCTTTAAAAATTGGCAGAAAGTCATCTCCCAGCCCCATGTAGGAGGCCCAGGCAGGGAGCCAGACAGACTTGCTGGAGGTGACAGAAATGCTGAGACCTGTGGAATTGGGCATCAAAACCTGTTGCTTCAGCAGTCTTTCACTGGGGCTCCATATTTGGACAGTCACCAAGGCTTTGCCTGTGCTTTGGCACCAGAAGGTGACATCTGAAGAGATGTCCTGGAGACCACTGCTCTGTCTTTGGCATCTGCCCCTCCTGAAGAAGTCACAGCCACGTGCAGGGGCTCTGCAGGGAGCAGCAGCCTCCTCTAAAGAATCCCTTGTCTTTGAGGGAGATCCCAACTGATTTACTACAGTCAAACCCCAGGGGATCTCCTTGCTTGGAAGAGGTGAATCCCGCATGTGGCTTGGTCCATGCAGCAATGGAGTGACCTCCAGGATGAGTGGGGATGGTGCCTGCATGCCCTCTGCCTGGGGAAGGATCCAGCTTCCTCATGGAGGACTTTTCCTTACCAAAGGATGGTGTCAAGATGTCACAGCCAACCTTGGGTCCTCCTTTCTATCACCTGACCCACAACTTACAGTCTTCCCAGGCCACACTGCTTTCTCCCCAGCATCCCCTTGACTTCCCACTGGATGCGACCACGGTTGTGTTCAGCCACACAAACTCCTGAAGCACAGGAAGGCTCATTCCCAATCTGCAGTACCTTCCAAGGATTTTGGGTGCGGAACGTGAAGCCGCCGCTCGATGGCTTCTGTGGCTGGCAGGCAAAAGCCTCGCTATAAATAGTAGAGCACAATAGGGCCAGAGCCCCGCTCCATCCGCGCGGCCCCCGCCGCTCTCCCCCCTCCTGCTCGCCGCAACGACCCTGCAAACACTAAATGGCATCTGAGTGCATTAAGCAGCAAACTCTCCGGTGACATAGCAATTACGGCTCTGAAATAGATTTGGTGCGTCACGCAAGATAAGGGTTTTGAAAGTTTCTGTTGTGATTATAGCTTGTAACTCCAACAAATAACAGGCTTGGTAATAAGAGGCTGCCAGCACAGCTATTGTGGTTCTCTCTCACTGATGGCACGTAAATTGCTATTAATGTCCTAAGTGTACTTGAATATGCCAGTCTCGGGGCGGCGGAGTTGGCTCTGTGTCTCTCTTTACGCGGCCTGTCATTGTCGGGCTGATAATCTACAGTAATTGCTGCCTCTTGCAGCAGTCCAAGATGTGTAAGGGTGGATATTGCCTCTTGGGGAGCGCAGGGATGGGGGGTCAGGGCCTGGCTCTGGGTGGGAGCTGGTGGGGGCAGTGGGCATGGGGTGCACAGGGCTCGTGCATCGTCTGGTGTCACACTTGCACCCGAGGTGGAGCAGAGTGGGGTTTGCTAACCTGTGAGCGAGCTGAGGTTGTGATTCCTGCTTCCCTTGCTGTTGCCTGAGCCCCTTTGCTGCCAGGCATCTATGGAAGAGCACACGGGCACAGCAAGGGGTGCGCACACACCTCTCGTCTTGTTTGCTTTGTGCGCGTCCCGCTGTGAGGTGGCGTGGCTCCTCAGATGTGGGTTCTCCTGCCTGTCAGCTCCTTGCTCCCATCACAGCAGCCTCTCAGGCAGGCGGGAGCTGGGCAGCAGCACCTTGGTGATGCCTTAAGGAGCTGGAACAGAGGCTAGATGGAGTTAAGAGGAATTAAGTGGATATTTATTGGAGTGCCTTCAAAGGCCACACCCTGGCAGTACCAGAGCCACAGCAGTGGCTCTACCCAGATGGCTCCAAGGTGGAAGCAAAAGAGGTCACAAGATCTCACATTTTTATAAGTTTTAGTCCATTTCCATGTAGGAGTTAACTGTCCAATTAATAGCTTCAAATGATGAAGTTTCATCCTCCTTGCTTGTATGCCCACCCTCCTCTTCTCACGTTGTCTGTGCTTTGGGCCTGAAGTTCGAAGAGATTGTCCTTGAGTCTCCAGTAGAATGGGATTGTTTTGTCTTCACCACCCATGAAAAGATCCCAGTAACACTCAATGGAAAGCTAAAAGCTGCACACCAAAGCAGAACAGAAACACTTAAAACCTAAGGTATCACTGGGGTGAGGAGTTTTGCTACCCTCAGCCCTCTGTGTGTGCAGGGTCCCAGCTGGCAGGGCCAGCGCTGGATGATGCGGCAGGCAGTGGGACAGGGTGGGCAGAGCAGCCCGGGCGTGTCTAAAGCGGGACAGCGACTGCTGCCAACTGGAGCTTGGGCAGTGCTTGGGAAGGATTAATTTGCCAAGCACTGAATCAATGTCAGAGCAAGCAGAGGAGGTTGGGTGCGACATCTGCTCCTCTCTGAAGGGGATGGCAGCAGCAGAGGAGCAGCTTCTGCGCGCTGCCGGCTCCTGCCCACGGCAGCCGGGGCCCTCCGGTACTCGGCTTGGAGCGCCTGGAGAATTTGGCTCTGCATCTGTTTTTAGGAGAAAAAACAAGCTGTCTGCCATGGTTTGCTGCATGAACCCTCAGATGGGATATAGTGTTGGCACCTCTGTTGAGCTGTGGCTAGGTTTCCCTCGACGAGGCGGGGATGTGGAGCTTTTCTGGGGGACACAGCACAGCTCAGCAGTTCCATGGGATCCAATGCTTGTTCTGCATATTCACAGCACTTGGGTTCAGATAACATTCAGAATGCTGGTTCTGTTTGCTATTTTCTTTCTTCCATATGAGGAGGAGTTATAATCAGGGGTTAAAAAACACCAAACAACCAGAGCTCAGGATCTAGAATAATACGTTGGGTTTTTTTAAGGGATGGACTTTCCATGAGTGCTTCCAGTTTATCAAAATCTGTCTTCAGCAGAAATGTTTCTGCCCTGTGATGGAGCCTGATGGAGCCCTGTAGTCTGGGGTGGGATGAGGGAGTCAGAGAGGACATCTTTGCCTCCAACACCTGTCCCAGCTGAGGGAGAAGGGGGTGGATCTGAGGTGGATGGGTGCCTTGGGTAGGGCTGCTTGTGCCTTGCCATGGGGTGACTGATGTCTGTGTGTGTCCCTTCCTTCAGGCTAATGGAGGGTGGCAAGACGCTACTACCCCATCGTCGGTGACCTCCCCCACAGAAGGCCCTGGCAGCGTTCACTCTGATACCTCCAACTGATCTCCCAGCAAATTGCATCCCTGGCTGAGCCGGCCCCGGCGGGGGCGGGAGAGGAGGGGCCTCTCCTAACACCGCAGCAGTCAGACTGGAGGTGAACCCAATCAGCACACACAAGAAGACTCCTTCTCTTCTCTTCGTCGGGATGCTTTTTTCAGCCAATCTGGACACTTCTTTATACTCTCTTCCCTTTCTTTTCTGGGTAGAAGCCGCTCTCCCCCTCCCCGCCACCGCCACAACACCACTCCCTTCCCCTCCCCGCTTCCCACCCAAGGTAGAAGGATTTTAAGGAGGAAAAGCAAAAATCCACCACCACACAAACCAAGCCCAGAGCAGTGTACAGCCTCATGCTGGGTGTCTTTCTGAGGAGCTACAAATGTACCTCAGTCACGTCTCGCTCCCTCGCTAGCAGGCAGCCCCTGCCCCCGTTCCTTTCACGCTACCTCTCCGTAGGGAATTGCCACCGTAGGGAATCTGCTCCTGCCTCATCTCCACAGCCTCCCTCACTCAGCCCTGCCCCAGTGAGCTGTCCCTCAGCTGCTGCAGGGACAGGGCAGGTGGCACAGCCCCCGTGCACGTGGAAGGAGCCAGCGTGCTCCCCCTCGCTTCCAAAAGGTACCATCCCCATTGCCAACCCTGGGGAGACTTCCCAGTGCCAGCCCTACTTGGCCAAGCATCCCTGCCGCTGGCTGCTGTGATCTGGATGAGCTGTGGAACCCTGCTGTCCTGCCTGCCTATTGCTGGAGGGGAGAAGAGGAGGGAAGGAAGGGAGGCAGAGGCAGGTGAGAAACGGCCATGGCTGCTGACACCTCCCCGGAGTGTGCGGGATCAGGCACGGATGGCTGCTGGGACACCAGCACTTCTCTCACAGCACCTAGAGAGGCTGCTGCTGGAGTTCTCCTGCTGAGGGCAGTGCCACGGGGTGTTGGCTCCTGTTTCCAGGAGCAGCTGGCTTTTCCAGTTCAGGCAAGACCCACAGAGGTTTGTGCCATCCCCTGCGTTCCCAAAGCCCTGCCAAGCCAGCGGTGAGAGATGGGCAGCAGAATGCCAGGGGCTGGAAGTGCTGGGGCGAGTGTCTCGGGTGCTTTTGGTAGCTCTTCACGCCACAGCTTTGCTCTGTAGGATGGGTGGCTGCCCCACTGGGGGATGTCTCTGTGCTGGAGCTGCTGGTTTGACCCCAGGAGTTACCTGGGCAGTGGCCATGGAAGGACTCACGGGACTTTGTGCCCAGCTTTTCTGGCCCACTGTTGGGACAAGCAGTGATGGCTGGCAAGCGAGGCTTCATTCTGCCCCTTCAGGCTGGTGCTGAGAGGATGTGGCTTTCATGGAAGAGCAGGAAGAGGCAGCACCAGTTTCCCTGGGCTGCGGGCTGAGCTCCATGCCAGGGTGGGACTTCTGGCCATCGGTTCTTGCAGTGGGCACGAGGAGGCTGAGCCAGCCTGCATCAAGACCCTGGGTGTGCTGGGGACTGGTGTGGGTGCAGGATGTCTGGCACCTCGTGATGGATCCCAGGATCCCCTGGGATCAACACCTCACGCTGTTGAATGTCCATGCCCACCCTGCTTGTGCTGGTCTCGAGGTGGGAACTGCCAGCGTGGAGCAGCATTAAAGAGAAACCATTTAAAATTAGAGCTCTGCCAAAAATACTTCCACCCTTCTGCTGGAAAAAAATAATGGTCCTTGGCCTGCAGGGCACAGTGGTGGTGTGGCTGCAGCTCCAGCACGCTGTCACCTTGCAGCACAGGGGTGTCATGTGTCCAGCAGTGACACTTCCACTCCTTTTGCATCCATGCCGGGAGTGGGACCCTGTGGCAGAGCAGGATGTGACACGAGGGGCCTAGGGCTGCCTCCCAGCTGTGTGCTAAGAGCATGGAGAAGGTTGTTTTCCTGCAAGGACAGTCAGGAGGTGCTGCCCACCTTCCCCAGCTCTGCACCTTCCCACTTTCCTCCTCGTCTTCCCGTGGTCTCCCTCAGCGCTGCCTTTGTCCAAGTCCAGCTCATTTAACATGAACCTGTTCTGGCAAAGCGTTCCAGGGACACAGGACCGGCTCGGGCCTCTCTGCTGAGCCACAGCAGTGGAATGCCTCCATCCCTTTGGAAAGCACCTGGGAATGAGCCAAACCACAGCCTGCTGGAGCCAGCCCACACTGGGGCTGCCCCCTGCCCTGTGCCCCCCGCCCGGGCTGCCCCTCGCTCCTCCAAGGTACTTTGCAAATCCCCTCCTGGGTTCCCCAGTTTGTGTTGGCATAGCTGCTTGCTTGCCTTTTTTTTTGCTTCTTTTTTTTTTTTTTTTTTTAATTTTTGGGTTTTGTTTCTCCTCCCCCATTCTCCTCCCCTGCTCCAGCCCGAGTGTTGTGGGGTTTTTTTCCTTTTTTTTTTTATTATTATTTCTCTTTTCTGCCCAGAAAAACCTGACTTCGATACCAAAAAAAAAAAAACAAAACAAAACAAAAAAAACCACAAAAAAAACACAAACAAAAAAAAAAAACCTGCAGAAACTCAAAAAAAATAAAAATGAAAAAAAAATCACAAAAAAAAACTCGACGATTCTTTCAGCTTTATTAACATTTTCCATTGTTTCTTGCGATTTGTGTCTCGTTCTTTGTAGTATTGATGATAACGAACATTTGATAATGAATGTTCTTGTATATTCAGATAAAGGAGAAAAAAAAAACCAAAAACGCAGCCGGAATTTAATAGTGTTTATAATAAAAGAATAAAAAATGACCCTCTTAGCACGCAAAATTGAACGGGGGGAAGGTCCCATCCCTGTTCTTTCTGTGGCAACAAGCGCTTCATTCCTGTATAGTTTATAACATCAAACTACCTACATTCATCCTCCTTTTTTTTGTTTGTTTGTTTTTTCCCATGGTTTGGGTTTTTTTTCCATTTTCTCGCATTTGTGAATTAGTTCAAGAATGCTAGAAAAGTGTAGAGTTGTGCACACTCATTTCTTCTTACACAATGTTTAAAAAGTGACGGTAATTCATTTTGTAAAACTTTAAAAAGAAAAAAATGGTTGGAATAGTGAGCATTAATAGGTACAGTCTAACACTTTATGTTTCTTAACGTTGAGACCCAGAAATGAACCTTTTTTGTTGTTTTTTTTTTATTATTTTTGCCTTGTTTGGGATGGGGGGAGGAGGCTTTGATGATGATGATGATGATGATGATGCTGAGTTTATTTTGACCTGTCAGAGACAATGGCCTTGCCACCTCCCCTGCGCTTTTGTGACCAGAGTGATGTGAAAAGTGCTGGTGGTGTTTTTGGGGGAGGTGTTTCTCCCCATTCCTGTCAGATCCCAGCTCCAGGAGATCCTCGTGTGGCTGCTCTGGGGCTGAGCAGTGGGATTTCACCTCTGAAAAGGGATGGGATTCCCAGGAGTTTTGGGGAGGAGGTGGGGGGGAGTCAAGCCCTGAGTTCCTGAGGATCTCCATTCTGGGGGTGTCGCTGAGCTGCCTGGAAGTGATGAAAGGGCAGGAATCCTTCCCAGAACTTGTGGATGGTTGGTTCTCTTCCCTGAATCCCAGTGTCCCAAACCCAGGGATTCAGGGTAAGGAATGTTCCAACCTCCCCTTGCCTGGACCTTGCTGGAGCTGAGGTCCCAGAGCCTGGCTGAGCTGGGACAGGGGATGGCACGTGGCCACAGTGTCCCAAATCCAGCCCCAAATCCCAGTGGCTGCAGAGTGGGGTTCAGGTTGAAGCGCTGAGGAAGGTCCTGGTTGGCATCGCTTCAGTTTTCTCCTAAAACCTTTTCCTGCTCCTTCCAAAAAAACCCCTGAGCTTTTCACATCACGGCCCAGTTTAGGGTTTGGGGTGTTCCTTTAAATCCCAAAGTTTCCTGGAGTCCTTTTGTTTTCGTACACCTTTATTATTATTATTATTTTATTAAGAGGATGTAAATCAGACATTGCCTGGGGGTTGGTTTTGTCAGTTTGCTTTTTTTGTTCTTGCAAAGCCCTTTCTGTCCCTTGTAAAGGTGATCCAGTTCGGAGTTGCTTTTTCTTTTCTATTTTTTTTCTCCCCATTTTTTTTTTTTTAATTCATTCCTAATGGTTTCCAAATATAAAAAAGAAAAAAAAATTAAAAAAAAAAAATAAAAACCCTTAAAGAAAAAAGAAAAAAAAAAAAAAAAAGACTCTCTGTTCCAACCTGGTTTTGAAACTTTTTTGCTTCTGTAAAGAAAAAAAGGCCTCTGTCTTTCTGATCCCAATTGAAACTTTTATGTTCTATGACGATACTAACAAGGTGTAGGTTTTACAGTTTCCTGATTTGTACTGGTAATGCATATTCCAAATAAATAGTTTCTTTTGTTGCAAAAAAAAAAAAAAAAATCAAAAAAAACCAAAACCCTGAAACCAAACCTGGTGTATTTTTTTGGGGAGGAAAAAGAAGAAAACAAGATACCCTGGGGGTTTCCCCAGGAGGCACAGGAAGGGTTTGGGGTGCAGAGGTGGGGGTGAACAAAGGCAATAAATGCTGGGATGGTGTGAGCCAGAGGGATGTGATTTGGGATTCTGCCTGAGGCACTGCATCCTGCTGCCTCCCCCTGTGCCTCAGTTTCTTTGGGCATGAGGAGGCGAGTTCTCCTGGACACATGGATTTGCCCTTGCCAAAAGAACCAAACCAAAAAAAAACCCAAAAAAAAAAAAAAAAAACCCAAAAAAAAAAAAAAAAAACCCAAAAAAAAAAAAAAAAACACACCACCAAAACCTGCTTTTTTTGACATTTTAAGTGCACTGCTTTCCAAAAAAAAAAAGCTAGAAATGGGATTTTCTTTATCACACCAAGGTCTAGGGCAGGGATGGGGAGGAGGGAAAGGCTCGATAGCCTCTCCTGTTTTCCTGGGGTGGGGGCGTTATTTAAAAAAAGGGGGGAACAACCGAAAACGTTTCTGGGAAGAAAAAGAAATTTTAAATTTAAAAATAATTTATAATTTTAAAAAGAGACCGTGCATAGGATGAAAACCAGGACAGCTCTGCCTTGTCCGCAGAGATTTTAAATGGAGTAGGGGGTGGCCGTGACTCTGTGCCAATAAAAACACCTCGGACACCCCGAGCGCACGGGAAAAATCCCCTCGGGATGAATCCCCCGGGAAGGCAGCTCGGGGATGCTGGAGCTGCCGCCCCGCTCCCCCACGGATTTCTTGTCAATGATTATTCCATCTCCAGCCTGACCTTTCTCTTCTAAATAACACGGCAGTATCAGCCCGGGCCAGCCTCCAGCTCCGGCTGCAAATTAAGTGTATCGCTCTCCGGCAGAGCCCCCCGCAGCTGCCCGCCCCAGGAATTATCTCCCTCTCCTAATTCCAGTTTAAATATCAGCCTGCTCCCAGCTGTTCCCTTCCCATCAAGGCTCCAAGCAGGGAAATGTTAAGTCTCGCCGGGCCCCGCTTGCGGGACGGCCCCGGCGGTGCTGGGGATGCTTTTGGAGGCTGAGGATGCTTTTGGGGGCTGGGGGTTCTGCCTCGCGTCCTCCGGGGACCAGCGTGGGCTGCGGCTCTTGGCCGCTCTCTGCCCAAAACAGGCGGGTCTGAGGTGGGAAAAGGGCACTCCGAGCCTTCCTCCCTCTGCTCCCCCTCCTCGCTGGCCGCCTGTGGGTGAAAGGGAAACCCACAAATGCCAAACGGGATTGTTCGGCTCTTCCTCGCCATCTCCATCCCCCTCCCTGCGTACACGGGTTTTTTCTCTTCTCCCCCTGCCCCTCACTGATCTGTATTTTATTTTATTTTTCCCCCTCTGTTTCCCTGGTTTCGGGCAACCAAGTTCAGCAACCCCCGAGGTGCAACTCCTGCATTTTCCGTTCCACGCTGCAATATTTTAGACCAAAAACCACAGGGGGAAAAGGCACGGCATGCAGCGAGCCCCGCGTAATTCCCAGAGCAGAAGCTTCAAAAGACTTTTTGGTGATCAGACAGCGGTGGTTTGGTGGCAAACAGCCCGGGCTGGCGACCCACACCCACACTGTTAATAATCCTTCCCTCCTAACCGAGGGGCTGGGAGGTGTTAAAGTTACAGTTCGCAGTAAAGCCCCGTCTACTGGCAGGAGAATTTAATATACGGCAGAAGTTTCCCCTATAAAAAGCCAGGGTTATGTTTTCCTCCAGTTCACCGGGAGTCTATAACTTACGACCTCCATAAATGTGAGTGGGTCTCACAAGTCAGCCCATCAGTCTTTGGAGTAATTCTGCTTTGTAGTAAAATATTTTATTGTGCCTTGGATGCAGGCAGCCCGCCCTACCCTGCTCGGGGTGGGTGGCTGTCCCCACGTCCCTCCTGTGCCAGCACCGTGGGGATGGGATGGAGGGCCTAAAAAATAAAATTCAATTTTTAAAATGTAATAAAACAGAATGAAATTAAATAAAATTACAACGCAGTAAAAGAAAGGAATGAAAAGATATCATGAGATTAAAAAAAATACAAGTAAAATAAAATGAATGTAAGATAAATTTAAGTTAAGAATAAAAAAATATAATGAGATAAAAAAATACAAGTAAAATAAAATGAATGTAAGATAAATTTAAATTTAACAAAATAAACCCAAACCAAAATAATAAAATTGGAATTGAATGGAAATAGAATAGAATAGAATAGAATAGAATAGAATAGAATAGAATAGAATAGAATAGAAGTTAAACAAAATAAACCAAAACCAAAATAATGGAATTGGAATGGAATAGAATAAGAATAGAATAAGAATAGAATAAGAATAGAATAAGAATAGAATAAGAATAGAATAAGAATAGAATAAGAATAGAAACAAAATATCCTGCCCCCCGGGCATGAGCTATTGAGAATGTGCGCTGCACCTTTTAATTATTGCTAATGAGGTAGAGTTTTAATCGCTTTACAGAGGAATTGTGGCATCTCTGTGCTGGCAGTGCCGGGGGGTGCGTGGGAAGAGGGAACGCAGTGGTGTGGGGAGTGCTCGATGGTGGGAGAGGAGGAGGAGGGCGAGGAGGAAACCCAGAGGAGGGGGCGGATGGATGGCACAAAGGCAAGGCTGGACCGAGCTGAAGCAGTAGAAAAATATATCAAAAAACAGGAAGAGGGGGAAAAAAAAAAAGAGGAAAAAAAATTAAAAAGGAGTGTTATCACTGCCTTACCAGCTCGCCCATGCTCTGGGCCACCAAACCCCTCCGCTCAGCCCCGATCCCGCTGCCTGCAGCCACCGCTGACCCAGGCAGGGCAGCTGAGGGGCGCAGGGAGAGCCCAGGTAATTAAAAATGCAAATGAGCGCTGGGGCCGCGCGGCTGCCGGCGCCTTCGGAAGGTGCAAATTACGAGAGGGGTTCGTGGGCTCCCCCGGTGCCCCGGGCTGGGGATTCCTCTGCTCCCAGGAACCTCCCGAGCCGAGAAAAGGGGCAGGAAAAAGGATGGGAGAAAAGAAAGATCATTTTAAAAGAAAAGAAAGAAGTTTCCCCTGATTTTTGTTGTGTTGTTTTTTTGGGGTTTTTTTCCCCCTTTGTTTTCTTCCCAGCGTTTTTTGTGGGGGAAATGATTCTTTAGAATGCAAAGGGAAGAGACATAATCAGAAGGAAATAGTCCCTAAAACAACTTCCACAGGGGCTAAAGCAGCCCAGGCCCCTGCCACAGATACCTCAGCCCTGCCACGGCCCCAAAAATTCAATGTATGCCTTGAAAACACGGCAAAATCCCAGCTGCAACGCGCCCAGCATGGAGAATAAAGCCAGGACTGTGGCTTTGGGGTGGGCCGTGCCCAGACAAGACCCCAAACTGAAGCTGATCTCCCCCGACCCCTCCAAAACCTGGTGGGTTTTGCCCGATTCTCGTGGTTTTGGGGCAGTTTGGCAGCGGTGACGGCAGGGACCGCGCCAGCGATTCTCGCACTCGCTGACTCAGCTCCAGCACAGCTCTCTTGTCCTGCTGCTAATTAGGCTCCAGCCTCTCATCTCGTTAATAAGCTTCCAGTTCATTTGCATACAAAAAAAAAAAAAAAAAAAAAAAAAAAGAAAGAAAGAAAAGCCGGGGGGGTGGGGGGAGAAGGCCCTGGCGCAGCTCCTTTTACCTTCAACATGTGGCTAATGCTTATTAAAATATTTAACCTTTTATTACGGCACAGAAACATCTGTTCCAGCAGATCCCGGGGCTTTTCCTGCCTGCCAGCCTCTCCCAGGACACACCCCCCCCCCCCGCTGGAAGGGACACCTTATGGAGGGTCCCCACCCCTGCAAGCCCCCGGGGCCATGGGGAAATGCGGCAAAACACCGGGAATTTCAGCTCCTCGGGTCTGTGTCTGTGGTTTGCAGCATTTCCAAAGCCTGCTTGGGGCATTAAGTGGGTAGATCCCATGGAGCAGCCCCAAAACCCGTTCATTTGCAGCTTTTTCACGGAACACCTTCCCCAGCTAAACATGAAGAGCCCTGCTGGCGAGCCCCTGCTCCTGCCCACACCCCTCTCCCACAAAAATCCCCTCTCTGAGATGCCCCCACTGAGACCCCTCCCCTCCTTTTGAGGGCACTCCTCTCCTCCCGAGACCCTCTCTCCATCAAAACCCACCTCTAGCAAGACTCTTCCCCTCCTACTGAGATGCCGTTCTTCTGTTGACTCCCTCTTTCCTATTGAACCCCCTCTTTCCTATTGAAAACCCTCTCTTTCTTACTGAAACCCCCCATTTCCTATTGAACCCCTCCTTCTATCAAGATCTCCCACCCTTACTGAGATCCCCCCTCCCCTATCAAGTCTCCCTCCCTCTCCTGGTGAGTCCCCTCCTCTCCATCCCTCCGGGGCTGCCTTTGGGATCCCAGCCCCGCAAGGATGAGCCGTGCTGAAGGTGAAGCTGCTGTCCCAGCTGTGCCACGCAGGTTAATTGATGGCAATTAATGAACCTGGGACTGAGAGGTTTGTGGGGGATGCCTGGGATGGGCACGGAGAGCTCCCAGCTGCCCTGGCCAAGAGGGGGGCTCTGATAAATCAACCCTGCTTCCAAAAGCCTGCCGTGCTGAAGGGCTGGCAGCTGCACAGCTGTGACCCCTGGACCCAACAGGAGGCATAACCAGAACCCTCTCTGTGGTGGATTCATACACATCTGTACGGGTTTGGGCAGATTTGGATCTGTGAGCCCGTGGGATCTCTGCTGCTGAGGCCAAGGGATGAGTTCTGTGCTTGGAAACGCAGGAGGAGCAGAAGCAGCTCTGGGTGCTGAGCATGGCCAGTGCCAGCAGTGCAGGGGTGCCAGTCCCAGTGTCACCCTCGGGGGCCATGCATGTCACAGCAGCTGTGGGACAAGCCCTGCTGCAGCCTCCAGAGGAAGGATTTGATGGAAAGGACACAGTGGGCTTGGGAAGACTGTGGCTGAGCGTTTTTGGTCAGGCACAGGGGGAAATGAGGA